TGGTGGAAGGGATAGAAGCTCAAGCCCGCATGGAACGCCTGAGGGGGTAGGTTATCTGGACAAAAAGTCTAAACGTCTTTCCAAAAAGTTATGTGAACATCACCCAGCTCGGTCCGTACATGAGTACTTCCAGCTTCTGTTTTGCAATGGCCAATTAAATGGATATGGGTCATTAGAAGGACGTAAGAAAAGCGGTCGGAGTTGCCTAGAGGACAAATCGGTCGACGTTTTTACGTGATGACAGCTGGTGCCACTGAAGACACTATCCAGACCTTAGTGGCAGAACCAACTGCCAAATCTGCTTTCCCCGTAGCACTTCGTGGAGTTGAAAATCAGCAAACCCGTCCATCCTGAGGCCGACCAACAGTCCAACAGCGAGCGCTGCCTTATCCACCTGCATAGGTTTTGCGTTAATGAACAGCACTTTCAAAATATATTGAAATTATGGATTTCAAGCGCATCCGGCTAGCTTTGACAATCCACCACGAAGGATATTTGTCCAGGTCTAACAAAAGCAGTGGCCAATATAAACCAGGTATCGTGCGCCAGCCTACATGACAAGCAATCCACCAGGCAAAGTCGTCATCACTACGCCCTCCCAATTGGAGGAATTCTGCATAGACTGCAGAGACTCTGATACCTTGAATATTGCATTGCAGCCTATTAGATTGCGCGTGAAAAGGTAGATGACACCGACATACATGTAATAACGCACACCTAACGACCTGAGGAGATCACTCAGCCCTTCTAAATCCTGTTCAGTTCAGGATTTATTGCCTAGCCATGCAAGATAATCCTCTGTCTCCGGGCAAGCGGGTTGATGAGGGCGTTATCGATCGAGTGTTTTCGTCATCATGCCAAGGGAGGCCTGAAGGGGGAACAGCGATTACAATACCACAACTCCCACGTACCCCTCTGCATATACGCACTTCCCGAGGGTTTCTAGTAGTATGGACTTAAGAGAGGCACCATCGTGAAAAGCACTTTTAAATATCACGATGTGAACTTTGCTATCTACAAACACATTCGTTTTCCATGCTGAAAGGTTATCATACGTATAGTTAATTGCCTGACTCATGAAATGTGAAGAGTTGAGCGGGCGATTTAACACACAATTGAGTTAGTTCATTTTGTTCATTGAATGGACGCCAGGCGCAAAAATGTTGTTTACTAGAAAAGAGTTCAGTTCAGATCAGTATTTTGAGGCAAAAATGCGCCAGCGTTGACCAAATATAACAAGCTTGAACAAGCTTTCTGTATATTTCAAACTTAAGGCTGCTTAATAACCCCGACTTTTAACTTTTTCGGAGTATTCCGCTTTTCAAAAAATGATATTTCTAAACAACTTAGTCTAACTTCATAAACCGCAATGTGTCTTCATTGTACTACTGACTGACGTAAGACTTTGGGGACCCATTTTGGGCTCCTTTTGCCTTCCAGGGGTTTTCTTGTAAAAACCTTTGGACTCCATGAGTTAGGGCTGCTACTGTAGGTTACCCGATGCGGGGACATCTAGTAGCTGAAAATGATATTTTATGCAAACCAGAATAACGATCAAAACATCAGTGGCATAGTGACTTTTTAATTTTTTAAATGCCGCAAATCATCGTTCAGCAAATACTACTCTGTGTAAACTTCCTTTGCAGAAAAAAATTACCAGAGCGTGGCCTGGTGGTTTTAGGATTTTTTTATCAAAACATATGATTTGATAGGACTTGGGCGCAGAAATGCATGTTTTTTCACGTAGCCTGGATTAGTGCTGTACAGTCCAAAATACGTCCGGTATCTACAAATTCATCCGCAAAGATTAGATCACTCCAGTAAACCGACTGTTAGTCACACCACCCATCCAAACTGTCGAAAACAATGACCTCATTCCAGCAATTCTCGTAACTTAAATTTTCTATCGACATACTCAAGTGCAACAAAACGAAATTCTTTGATCGAATTCTTTCAGCTAGATTTGGCCAAAACCTTCTCTGTAGATTTCTTACTGATAGAGGCCATGATTGACATTTCTGACCTATAAGCCATTGTAAACTAAATATACGGAAGCGCAGACTTGAGTAAGCTAGGATTCAAATCCAAATATTTAGGCCATTGGGAAACCAGCAACCTAAAAGAGGCCATGGGTCCGTTATCCTATAAGCTGCGATCGGGAATCTCATATATGGCGTAAAGACCGTTTACCGATCAGTTTACCGAACATGCTCCTTCTATTGTGCCTCGGGGGTCAATCTGAATTCTTAACAGACAAACGCAGTGCGGACAATATTGACGCCGAAACAACATCAGCAAACACAAGACAAAAACGCTTAAACATTTTGCGTAAAGAGTTGATGAACGATCTTTAAACTACAAGTTTTCTTTTAACTTAGTCAAAAAGGTATGAATTTGATAACATGTACAACTATACAATACATTTTTAGACAACAGTCGGCCTCCCCGCAAGTGACCTCTAATGTATTTTTGTTTCCAGCCAAAAGCCTGGATTTCAATCCCATCTAACTAGTTTTGCGTTAATCGAAAGGTATTGACACAAGGCAAAGTAGAACCATTCTATGCAAGAAAAACTTGCCTTTCTGCTGAATAATCACATAGGAAAAAGCACTATAGACGACCTGACTATCTTCAGGTCCGAAAAACTTAAAGTTGTTTTAAATCTACACGGATATTGATAGTTTGTGTTTGTACTTATTCTTTATTAATTTGCCTTTTTGCGCACTACTGCCAAAAACAACTTTATATTTAACGTTTGAGTAGTGACTTGTTATGTAGCCATTATATGAAATTCCAGTTTTTTTAGTGGAAATGCACTATTTGTATGTTAGAAGCTAGTAATTTTATCAATCAACCAATGACTGTTTTACAAATGGTACTTAATTCATTGCTGCAAAAATGGAGAGACGCAGCATGCAGTGATTTTGTACATTTTGAATTTTCTTGTCTATCTCATGAGATAGGCAATCGTTTGGAAACTTATAAAAGAAAAATGCCATTTTCGACGTACTCCTCAAGCTCATGTATCTGATTATCTTTGTCCAGCTTCTCCGAATCCGAATTTCTGATCATGCTGAGAAGGCGATCAACCTCTGTCTGTAGTTTGGACGCCGACTCCATGTAGTGATTCACTTGACCCTCGAGATCGGAGACTATCTTCGAATATTTCATTTCTGATTCAGTTGTTACTTGCTTCTGAAGCTGATTCCGAGGAAGAAGAAGAAAAGAAATTTAAGATAGAACTGATATTTTAATGTTGCGATGAAAGTGGCACAGACTTACTCGACTAGATCAAAGCTTTGCATAGAGCTGATGTCTTCAACATTTAAAAAAGAAACTCTTTTATACTTCTAACACCTTCTCAAAAACGAATTTGACGGAAAATACCGAATAAATTCCTCGATTTGGACGAGACAGAGAAATTATAGCGGACATTTAAAAAAAATAACAAATACCTTCAGTGCAGATCAAGTTAAATCCAGAAAAATAGTCCAGTTGAAAATAAGTCCCAGCAATCCGCATCGGGGCTGGACCAAATCCACTAATGTGTCGATAAATCTAACTGAGCAGTCGGGTGGTACATACATTCAGCAGTCCGTGGACTGGCTGTGATTGCAATTAACCCCGGTTACAAGGAGACAAATCTATAGAAGGTTTGCGCGCAAACCACTTGAGTCAAAAGACACATCAAATTTTGCTGTCACGACGAATATTAAATGAGCAGGGAGCTGCAGGCTGATTGAAGCACAGGGGTCTTCATTTGACTCAACCAACATAAGCGTCGAACAGTCTGAGGAAAAACAAATTAGTTCCGAACTGCAATAACAAACATTTTGGCCCGCAATTTTTCTTAGGATTTTCATCAGCAAACTGCGGTTGCAACCGGTTAATTTGGACAGTTTATTTAGAGCACGTATAAAATAAATAGAAACGGATTCAAACCTCAAATCTGCTTGATTTATTGGGTTCGCTGTATTGGTTAGTCAGAAAGATATTTACGTCCATTTACAAAGAGGAACCACAGTCCGCTGACCACATGTTCAATAAAAGAAAAAAAGAAAACCTGCCCTGAACAGTATACAAACTTTAACATCTTCGTACCCATCCAAAAGAAACGCAATTTAGTCCACTGCCTAGTGCAAAGAGCTAAAAAAAATTGTTCGTCAGGCAGCATTGAGATGAAACTTAAGAAAATCAATGACCTGCTTTGTGAGAACGGGTATCCGGCGAGATTCATCACAAAGAATATGACTGCGAAACAAATAAAACCCAACACACTCACTATGAAGATATTCCTGAAAGTCCCTTTTGAAGGGGATGTTGCAAATGAACTCCTAAAAAGTGGCCTTGACTCAGCCGTGTCAGGAACCTTCACAAAAACCGGAGTTCGGATATTATTCTCAATCAATAGGTCTTGCACGGAAAAGGCAAGGTTAATTGCCAGCCCAGACTACATCCAAGTGCATCTACTCATTTACTTGCTCCCGTGGAGCAGGTTATATTGGTCACACGAGTCGGCACCTATCCAAAGGATGAAGAAACACCTCCAGGCATGACTTAGGAAAGATGAAGTCACGAGCATAGACAGCCCTATTCTCGCGCAGAAGGTTCCTTTCGGACATATTGTAGACCCCAACGAGCCTCCCAGGTGATTCCTAAAGTTCCACCAAAGTGCCCTAAGTTACTAGGTCGTCTTCTGCTAGCAACTTGTGCAGGAGATCACAGTCAGAGATAACAGCAGCAAACGTAGACAAAAATTATATGGATTGTAAAACAATAAACGATGAGTGACACACGTCTGAAGTTTACTGCACAGAGTTTTTATGCCAGCGCCAAATCAATAAATTGAATGAGTTTCCATCCTTAGTAGAGACTCTAATCAATTCTCGGCTGGTCTTGTTTTCAGAGTGGGGAGCCCAGAATTGGCCGAAGTTTTGTCCAAGGATGAAAACTCAATCAATTTATTGATTTGGCGATGGCATACAAAACTCTGCGCAGTTAAATCCAGACGTGCGTAACTTATAGTCGATTGTTTTACAAGAACTATAATTTTCGCCTATTTCGTTGCTGCGGTGATCTCCGACGATGGACTCCTGTACGAGTTTGAAAGCTCAGAAGACTAAGTAAACCGCTCCAGTGCTCGTCAAGCCCTTTCCTTTACTCAGAGAACGCGAATCTAAGCATTTTTGCATGACCTTATAAACAATTTTAAGTAATTCATATTCATTTTGTTTTTCTGAAACAAAACAAGGTCGGCTGTGCTTGTGCTATCATTTCCTAGGAGAGTAATCAGTCGGTGGACCGATCAGAATTAAACAGACATAACCAAAAATCTGCGTCTTACGCCTTACCATCTGTTTTTCCATCTTCAGGGATGATATTTCAGCATCTCGTTGACCGAGCTGGGATTGCAATTGGCTGATTTCGGTATCACGCTTGTACCGCACGCTACGCAACTGAGCCATTTCCTCGCGCAGTTCGGCCAACTGAGACGTCTTCTCATCCAGATCACGTAGTGCAGCGTCTAGTCTAGAGCGGAGTTCCGATTGGAGACGTTTCTGCGATTCAACCTCCTCGTTTGTATCATTTTCTAGTCGTTGAAGGCTCTCTTTGAGGCTGATTACACAAAAGAAGGTAGCTGACTTACAGTATGGCTACGAATTTGTGCCAAGTCATGATCAAAATTGGATTTTTTGGTTTGGCATACATTTGGTTAGGTTATTTTGATCTAATGAATGGACTTTATCCCGATAAAGCCTGTTCAGTGTAATAGGCATTAATTTTTGGCGAAATCGGTGGTAGTCTGATATCAAACAAATATTCTATCCCTGCCAGCACAATCTCCGGATTCCCCCGTGCTCTTGACGGGATAATCCGGGGATGAAAATTTTTGATTACCAAATTATATCTACAGAGCCAATTTTTTCAAAATCTACTTTTTATCAGTAAATTAGTAATCACATTATCCTCTAACAAAACAATCAATTTGGGGTCTAAAATGAAAACGACGGGGCGTCCCGCCACGAAAACATTTTTAAGGCGGTGGGGAGACAGGTTAAATTCCTCGTCCTGAGCCCCGTCCAAA